TTACTTCTGCAAGACCTGTTTTGGTTCATGTGGTTAATAAATTCATGATGCAATCACATTTTCTCTACTGTACCCTGAAGATGTGATATTGTTTGAGAAGTTGATCATTCATCAATAAATGTCACCAAGATTAAATTAAATTAAGATTATTCTCTTGTGTGCATTGAACTGGACCATATTACACCAGTCCGTGTCGGCTTCTGATTTGAAACCAGAATTGAGATCTCAAACAAAGGTGTGTCATTAGCAATGATACACAATCATAACTCATATGGAAAGTAGTAAATAGATCTATGTGTTACACCAAAACAAGGCAATAGCTATAATCACATTCAAGGAGGACTGGCTGTTAACTATTCATGCTAGACAAAGAACAATAACATCGAGACTGTCTAGATTCCAGACCATGAATTATTAAGTTGCATCATAATGTATTCTGTAATATGTTAGAAATGCATGAGTGACTAGCTGCTACTGTAAGGCAGCCTTAAACCATAACAAAGAAGACTTGTTCTAAATGGGCAGATATCAAGTGCCTGAAGAAGAATAATTGTCGGGCACGGGGATCCTGTTACAGTCTAAATACTGGAATAGTTTACCATAAAAACCCAACGATACCTGTTCATTTCACTGAGCAAACATTTTAAATGTAGTTTAACGTTCATCACGTTGACTTTAAAGCCTTTTTAACCAACAATAACCCTTCAGCTGGTTATGTCATAGCAGCTAAGAGACAAGTTCTCTGCACGAGTCCAACAAAAGAAAAGGACACACTGGCACTATGTGGTCAAGTCAAGTCGATCTTATTTATATTGCCCAATTTCACAATTCTGCCTCAAAGGGCACAATATCACTTTAACGGTGAACAACAGCTTGACTAAAAGGCTGCAGTCAAGCTGAATGATTTCTAAACTACCTGGACCTTGATGTTCAACAGAACATCTGTCTCTCCTCCTAAACAATAACCGAAAGTAAAAAAATGTCACTACCAGTCAAAAAGACCCCCAGGATGTTGCACATCAAAAGGCAGTTGATTTACAATGCTTTGTAGGAAAGCACCAAATATCACTCGGCTTCCTAATTAAACCTCAATGCAAAAGAGCATCGTCATCTGGGCTCGCTTTAGGCCACATGCTGCACGCCCCGAAAAACCCCACAAGCTGCAGGAAAGCCAATGACAGCGCTACGTTTCAACCTCAAACGATGTAATCCGAGGTAGTCTTTATCGAACAATCTGATCTGGGAGTTATTCTGCAGGAAGCTAGAGCCCTGACAGTTGTAAAGAAAAAGCAAAACAGGTGAGAGTAACAGGGAAGATCTGCATTTTGCAATGTGATGCTTTGCTTGTTTTAGCCAAGGGGCCTCTCCACATGAGATGGAAGGCTGTTTCTCCCTCGGGCAGAGAGACAGGAGGCTTGGGGTCTGTGAGAGGATGCCATGATGCCTTTATCAGAAGGACAGGGACATGTCAAAAGGCACAGCTGAGACTCTCAGGGCCGGTCTGATCTGTAGTGAGAAGTCCACAGCAATTATGTAATATGTTAATATGACGGATGCCACCTCGCGCTCTGTAAACTGTTCCATTACAAAATCCTATGAAATTGATTCTCTAAGCACTGCCAGAGACTCTCTCTCTCTCTCTCTCTGCTCAGCCTGTTATGCAACCTCCCACTCTGTACATGCAAATCCACCAACACACGAGTGACTAGCAACCTTCCCCGAGTCGTTGTTATGGAGACAGTGCAAGATAATGTTCATAGACTTCAGGGCCGTAATGAGGGTGTGTAATGTCAACAGAGCGAAGGCATTGTAATACCCTAACTCTGACATGTTAAGCTGGCCTGAGTCTTGTCACCTCGGTGCTCGGGGATCAACACCGGCTCCGAACACTAAAGACAAAAAAGTTCAGGTGTGGGTCAGTGTGGAGATTTTCCTTGTGCGAGGCGACAAGCCCCGGTTGCCTCCACACTAATTGCCTTGATGGAGCTCAGTGGGCGACAGTCAGCTGGGCCTCGGCGTTGTATTGGGAGTAGCGAGCCAGAGAGAGAATGACTGGAGGGGAGGGGTTTCGGTGACAGCTGAGGAATGTCTGCTCCGCTCTCCCTTTGCCGTGGTTTCAAGCGACTGTCATGTGAGGAATGTACGGGCTTGGACGACAGGACCTGGAATGCTACTCTCCGAGACGAATTTAGCAGACCAGATCTGGAATCTCCACTCGTCTGCTGGACCCCTCGTCCGCTCGTGCATCCTCTTTACCGTCCACCTGAAACCACGCAGTCTGTGTTTGGATGAACCAATCTGTAAAGCTATACTAAGTCGACATCTTAACCCTGGCTACTAACAACGTCCATGTGCACCTGTCATGGTCTTCATCATGAATCACGTTATAGCGACAACAACAGACGGGAACATGTTTACGGGTGCTTCTGCAACAAACCGTTTTTTAGGTGACAGAAGGCCCACGACTCGCATGGCGACACAACCTCTAGCCTACATGCGGGATCATGCCAGGGCTGCACCACAAAGCAGAGCTGCAGACTGTGAGTCATACCCAAACTTAGTATCATCTCCTGAAACCCAGTTAGGAGAACTTGTGGCGGTGGTATTTATAAACCTGCACTGGTCACCACCCAGCATTGGGAGTGATATCGCTGCACCTATTGTGGAGAGAGTCCTCATGTAACAACATGACACACTTCCCAACAAAGCCAGAGGTCAAGTCATTCCACAGAATAGGGCAGTGCACTTTATGCACAAACTGAAACCAATGCAAAACAAAGACATCATATGATTGACCGACTGGCCCTCTCCTCTTCATCATCTTGACCTCTGCGAAATTCTGTTGTGAAATCATAAGCATTCTGTGAAATTCATCACCTTCTTTAAACTCTTTATAAAAACACCCCAAAAACCTCAGATCACATGCGCACATGTGATCTGAGGGCAGCTTCTCGTGAGAGCGGCACTGCAAATTCTTTCCTCACTTTGGCTCATCCCTGGACATCAGCCCAAAGAGAGGCAACACTTGCATCCAATGAGTTTGCGCAGGGGGGGGCCGTGGTAAGTTCAGACCTCATAATAACAGATTCTGAGCACAAAGAATGGTTGATTCAACAACACCATTAATAAGAGCACGGAGCAAATATTTACACAAATGAAATCAACTCATCATCCAAAGATAAAAGCTGATGAACCAACTCAGAAAATGTAATTTTAAAACGTTGAATAGGCAGAACAAAGTCTTGGACAACAACCGTGCCGTGTAGCATGGTGGTGCAATTAGCAGTGCTCAGGCTTACTAACACAGCACATGTGGGCATGACTAATAAGGTGACATCACTGGAAATGTATGCAAGCATTACACATTTCATATTCTATGATTCATTCTTAAATCATTTAAGCACTTGCTATCAAAACAAATGGGTGTAAAAAGCATCCTTGCTTTCGCAATTAATTAAACTGTTGCGTGGGTTGTTTCCACAATAAATAAATGGCACTTTGATTTATTAAGTTGCTAATGAAGTACCTGAGGTTTCCTGTTGTCCTACAGGTGTAAAGGTGTGTAACGAAGACATAATTGCAATGTCCTAGTTACAAATCCATCCAGGTATGTTTTCTTTTGGTATTAAAAATGTACTCTGTTAATGCACAGCAGCTGATATTGTTTATATGCCATCATCTTATTCCATTTGTAATAAATGTGCCTAGATCAGATAGCATTTTAGTTCATATCTGATGTAGAATACTATTGACATTTTCCAAGTATTGTTTATTTTATAGTAAAGGGTAGAGAGATGTCACATCTGGAGCTTAGCAGATAATGAACAATCAAACTCCCCTTTCTTTTGAATGCACCTACTGTCTGGCATAATATTACGATCACTGTACTGGTACTTTAAGAACCATATAATCTGTCATTTTGCCGTGCTTAGTTTCAAAAAAGCCTCATATATGAATAGCACCTGACGTTACCGACTACCGACAGCCAGAACGAGCTGCCATTTTCATTATTTGCCTAGGAAAGCACCGAGGCTAGTCAACGTAGCTACCAGTTGTTAGCGGGCAAATAGTTAGCATAGCACTGCTAGCATTCCAGCGTAATAGTAAATTATTTGTCACACATGTTCCTCTGCTAACGTCACACTTGGAGACAAACTAGTTATCCGCCGACGTCGCTTCTCAAGCGAGCTAACGAATGAATTAACATCAGCTAAACCCTCCATAACAGCTAACGACAGCTAGCTTATCCTAGCTAATGTAGCGTTAGCATACATTCCGCTTGGCTGATAGTGCACAGACCTAATGTACCTCTTTGTCACATTTAAGCTAACATACCAAACAGTGCTGTCAACAACATATATATTACATAAGTGTCGCATACAGCTGAGGTCTTGGTAGGATAATAGCAGCCTGTAATCGAGTGGCGTTATACACAACTAAAGCTAGCTAGCTTTGGCTTCTTCCAGAGAGTAGCCGCAGTCAAAAACAAAACCACTTTTACTGCTATAGCCAGGTAGTAGCCATCGGTGTGGAAATCAATGACAACATTGGTATTTAAGCCCCTGGCACAACTCGATTGTTCCACATCAATGTGCCATAGAAACACTAGTGGTAGCTCGGCTTGAAGGTAACTGACAACATATAAATTACCCGACGTTACAGTTTGATGTGCAGCAGTACAGCAATTAGACTGCACCCACTTGACTGGAGGATAGACCTGGCTAGTTTACAAAAAGTAGTCCTTAAAGGGAAGCTTTTTTTTTAAACTTTGTTGCTCATTGTGGATTGCACTCGGGAAACCTGCAAGCACAGTTAGCACAGTTTTGAATTTAAGTAGTCCATAACCCAAGCTCTGAGAGAGAGAGGCCAGTGTGTTGATCTATATCGTCGAAAAGGAAGGTAAACAACGGGATGAGAATGGCTTCCATTTGACAGGTGTTCAACGATACTTGTGTCTATTGATGACTGACATTAACAACTACAGCAGGAACAACACAGACCTGGTGGAGGGCGGTGAGACCGTCCACATTGGCGTAGTTGATGTCAGCGCCTCGGTCAAGCATTCGGAGCACCTCCTCGGTATCGCCGCTCGAGCAGGCGGCCAGAAACACGGCGCCATCGTCGAACTTCACCTTCGTCTTCTTCTTCTTCAGAACAGGAGGCTCCTGGTCCGTTTCCGAGCCCAGCCACCGCTTTAACTGCTCATTCCTCTTCTGCTTGGCGTCCGCCATCTTCATCCCCCTCCTGATCTGTCTGTCTCGGGCTTCTTCTTATCTTTCTCCGAGAGAGGATATACTTTATAGTGCCACTATCCCACAGCGCACTGGGGCGTGGGAAGGGAGGGCTGGGGAGAGAGAGAGAGAGAGAGCGAGGGAAAAAGAGAGAGAGAGAGAGAGAGAGAGAGAGAGAGAGAATTGTTTTCCAAAATCTCGCGAGATCTGGAGCTCAGGAGCTGCAGTATAACGTCATCATGAGCAGATTATGAGGAGAGAGTGAGCAGGGGTATAATCCTTTTTAGACTGTGTGTACACCAAATAAGACAAGAGTACTTGAAAATATTACATAACATTCAGCTATAGCTAGAGAGAAAGAGGCAATTTTACATACAGTAGAAAGTATTTGCAACATATCCTCTATGCTCCATTTTAAATAGACCATAACATTTATGACACATTATGTAACAATAACATAGGGTATTACAATATATGAATAGCTTCACAAACACCAAGTCAAATGTATTCTTCTTTGTTATTAGGAGATGCTGGACCATGTTGGAGTTTCTCTTAAACTCAATATATAATTATCCTTCCATCAAGTAAAAATGTGAAAAGTATTGATACTTTTTGTGCATTTAATTGATGTAATGAACTAAAGAGCTGAAAGACATGGATATATTTGTTGTTGTTTGTTTATTTTTTTGTGATCATCATGGAGTTTTTATTTATTTCAACCCTCTGAGTTTGAAATAAGAAAGAGATCAAGCATTCATTCTATCAAAATCACTCATTCATTTTACATAATACCTGTCTAATAAGACCTAAGTCATGTTATCAACCACGTGCATGTAGAGTGTTGTGAGTTTGTTCTTAATCAGTCGACAAAACCATTAGATTAGAAAATCCGGTATATCTAACAAACCGAAGGCACCGTTGGTGACAATGTTAAGCATATGGTGTTTTAAGACAATGAAAATCTTTAGAAGAAATAGAGACAGAATGACAGGAAAATCATGTAGATTAAAAAAGAAAAAGAGTGGCACTTACATTACCCATGCCACAAACATATAGAACTCTGCAGTTTTCTTAAAGTCTGCATCCAGCCATGCCCCCGCTTCTGCACTTCCTTTTTAATGGACTGAATTGCACCATATTCATTCTCCATGTGCATTTTCCACAGGTGGGTAGTGAAAACCAAACATTATGAATATATTGATGAACCAAAACAGTTCCCATTCTGTCTGTTTTTTACAGAGATGAGGTCACTATTGTCATTAGTTGTGTTTAAGATGAACTTCTGTCCCTCCTGGTCATGATATGACTGTTGTTCTTAGTTTCTAGTTGTTGTTTTTTCAAACAGACGTGACTTGTCCTTTTTCTTTTCATTTCAGGAATGGGCGTGCTAACAAAACTTCCTCCACACATGAACGCATCGAATGAAATGGCTATTCCAAAGATGTAACATGTTTAGTTTACATATAATAAAAACACATTGCTCTCTCTTTGGGAGAATAAAAAAAACCCTCCTCACCACAAAGTACCTGTAATGATTTGATGGGTAACACTTGAAGTGCTAGGAATGTCTAGTGGACTCGAGCACCAGGGTGGTCCAGCTCAACCTGGAGTAAAAACAAGGTGGCCAGGCATAAAGTGTTTTTTATTTTGGCACCACCATGTGTTATTGTTGGCAGACACCCATGTGTACTCAGCGGGGGGTGTGGTGCAGCCCCCTCATACACAAGTTGTGGATAAGACACACACAGACCTCTTTTTTTTTTTTTCTTTTTGGGGTTTAAAGACATTTCAGAAAGTGAAAATTATGCTGCTTGCGCTTGATTAAATACCACCCACCCGCTGAACTTGGAGTTGACATCCTGAATAACAAGCTGTTCAAGCAGAATCATGATCCAAAACATTTATACAACTGTGATCATGAGCCATTGTGTGAAGTCATGCCACCCCCAATTTTACCATTTCAGAACCATTCCTCATGTCACCGACACTGAAGGTAGATAGATTGAAATGATTTATAGTCTGCAAATGCAATAAATGAGACTTGGGCCTCAGCACTAGGGGACTCTGGGTCAGAACACGGAGGTTAAAACACGGAAAGGCTCAGCTGATACTGATCCCTAATGTTCCAGAAATGTCACGGGAAATTACGGTGGTTCTACTGAGTCATAGAGATGGTGGGACACCAACGGCGTCAGTGTCAGGAAGTCGTTGGCTGGAGGCTTCAGTGAGCTGATATCAGGAGGGTTTGCAGGGAAAGTGATGTGCAAGCCGCTGCTCAGCGAGGAGGGCCAACCTCGCGGTGGCCGACACAAGGCGAGCCATGTGGGCCACGTCCAACTTCATGAGAGTGTGTGTAGGTAAGACACACAAGTGAGTTTTAGAGCTGGCAGACTGCGTTATTACTCGCAGGCCAAAAAAAACTGAGCTTATCTTTATGATTCAGTGTTTTCATAAGGTTGCTTTAAATATATAACTGTAACATTATCATAACCTTTGAATATTCAAGCTCTGAATATGGGATAACATTGACATTTTCAATGTCCTACCTACCAATGAGAAAACATGGAACGGGTACATATGCTCTTTGATTTTAGTTAGGGTTTAGTTATATCTAATACCATACAGTAAACATGCACCTTTCACATAAGCAAATATCCAAACAAATGAGTCGCCTTTAAAGCTAAATTTAAACAACACCACCACCATGATGTTGTGTTGTTGCCCCCTAAAAACAAATGCATCAATATATTTAGTCAGAAATCTACACACAAATGATGCCGTAAAATCAAAATCAAAAACGTCGTTCAGTTCTACAAAAAGTTATTGTAATTTTCTCGTATTTTACGCAGCTCAGGGCCAATAAAATACAATTTGAATATATTTAACATCCAAGCTTTAAAATGAGAAAATGCAACAAAAAAAAAGGATTTGGATATTTCCAAGAGGTGCTGTGCATTTTTAAGCTTGTAAATCTCCCCTACAGTTTGCTTATATATCTACAACATCAACATGGTTACGTAAGAGGGGCCTCTTGTTGCACTGAAAGGGATGGAAACTCCTCGACGTACATCTGCACATAATCCACTCAACAGCGTAACAAATATCTTGGATGTACAGTAAAGCATCCTGTTTATGCATCCTGCCGTAACCCCCCCCCCCCCCAGCAGCTGCAATTACCTCAGTGATGACAAATAATTGCAGTTATTAATGTGATGCCGGAGGATGCATGAGGATTTTTTTCATTATAACTGATGGGATGTCAGCAGGAATATACAGTACGTTCCACAACACGGGAGAAAAATCATTCATCAGCATCACCTCTGACAGGCAGTTGTGACCATCCTGCAGTACATGTGTCATGAGACTCCTGGACAAACTCCTGTCTTTCATTACCCTTCGCTTTGATCTCCGATGACTGTTTGCTGTTGTTCCTGCTCCTTGAGAGGATAAACGTGTCTGGGAGTGACTCGAGTGTATATCAGTACCACAAAATTACACCGGCGCACTCTCACTGTTTGTCTTCAGCCGCTGAGCGAGCTGATTAAAACCCACCGACAGATCTGTAAGTCATGTCATTGACATCGCTGTCTGGTCCCTCGGCACCTATGACTGGTCCCCCAGAGGAAGCTCTTGTTTACTGCTTTAATTGAGTGTTTCCAAGGGGACTGTTCTCTGGCGTGGTTTGTGAAACCAGATGAGGTGTTCATGCCAAGTGGTCTGGAAAGGCACAAAGGCAAAGCAATTTGGAGGTGACTATCTGCCTTAAAGTATCAGTCTGTATAGTGTTATAAAGTCAAGTCCACTTTAGAGTTTGAGTTTTTTTGTATTTCCAGGGAAAATGCTGTACCTTGGTTTTTATGAATGTTTTTCTCTGTTAAGAAGATATTGCATTTCAGAACAGTTATCAATGGGGTCAGTCTAAGAAGCCCTGCAAAAAAAGCCACAATAGTGGGATCAGACAGGGAAAATAATGAATTGCCATACAGTAACTGTATCATATCCACCAGCATGTCAGTGCAGGTGACCCAGACAAGCAGCACTCGCAGAGGGGTGACTGGTGATGTGTGGACAACTCGGTCCCATCTGAGAGAAGCCAGACGCTCGGCTCCCACGCTCCCATGTCACCCAGTGCCTGTTGTTGGCGCCTGCGACGCCGACACACTCATCTCCCTCCCCGAAATACGGGTCCAGACAGCAGCGCTATCGAGCAGATAGAAATAGTCATGCTTTGATGTTATCGAAAGGACGTCTAAAAAGTGATGTCGAGAAATACCCCCCGATAGTGCTGGCTCAGCCCTTCAGACCCTTTCAATTAGTCACCGGTGGATTGAGGAGCTTGCCCCGGCTTGTGGTATCAGGCGAGAGCTAGCAGGTCTACAGAAAGAGCTGGGTGGAATATAAAAACATTGTTCCCAGAAGCCCCAAGGTGACATGCATTGGGCTCAACCCCAAGTCCATCACTGATGAACGGGCCTCCATTTGACTGCACTATGTGTAGATTGCATCGCCCAATGTCGCCGGGGGCTTCAACAGTCAAAGTATTTAGAGGGAGAGTGCAACGAGAAAGCACAATGTGTCCAAGGCCAATCATGTGTCAGGCAGTGAAGTGGAGGAACAGACGGCGATTGGCAGAGAAACGGAGAGATTTGAATGAATGGCAGGTTGGTATTATTATTGTCTTTATTCGACGAATAATGATAGCAACCTGATCTGTGGGTTTTTCCTCAGCTGTGGATGCTGCTTTACTGCATGTGTCTTTAGGTTCCTCTTTGTGTGTTTGTGCACCGTAAATCCACTCTCGGCCCCTTAATCGTTTGGACCAAATAGGTTAAGCGTCGCAGCAGCGCCTCGTGTATCGCACAGAATCCACACATGTGATTATTGCACAGATTACTAGCACTTTTTGGGTCAGGAGGACTGAAGTGCACAGACCGGAGCTGTTGCAGCCTCTCCATGGCCTGTGTGCAAACATGAGGTGACGTCTTCGTAAGCATCGCAGGGTTGAGGAGTGTTCATGAGGTGATCTGCTCCCAGACGAACAGCTGAGCTCTAACCCCTGGACAGAAATAGGGCAGCCGCTTTCACTTAGCAGGGGCTGTACAGCTGGAGCAT